AATATACAAGTGAACCAAATTTAACAACATAGGAAAAGGATCCCCCACTATCACCAAATGGGTCGTCCCTATCAGGTAAGAGTACTTCAACACACACAAAGCTGTATTAGTGATATCCAACACTACCAGGAGGAAGGGTACAACATATAAGATCATCTTAACATGCACAAAACCCGATACAATTCAACATCCTTCCAAGAAAACCCTCCTGGCAAGCGAAGCAGGTGTAGAGATATGGCCACAGGTAAGAAGCTCACCCCTAATACGATACTGAATGGTGGAAATCAGGAAGCCTTCTGCTAAGATCTGGAGCAAGAGAAGGATGCCCGCTCTCGCTATGTTTTTCATCACAGTATTTGAAATCCTTGTGGAGCAATTAAAGAGGAGAAAGAAATAAAAAGTATCCAAATTCGGAAGGAAGAAATAAACTTGCCATTGTTGCCAACTTGATCTTATATAAAGAAAACTCCAAACACTCTCACTTTCCATCCACCCATCCATGTTAGAACTAATAAATGAAATACCATTCACGGTAGCACCAAGAAACACTAAATACTTAGGAAGTAAAGACCTCTACTCAAAGAGGAAATCAGAAAATGGAAAGACATCCTCTGTCCCTGGAGAGGCAGAACCAATATTATCAAAATGCCCACACTTCCAAAAGTGATACACAGACTGAGCGGAATCACAAGCAAAATGTCAACAGCATTCTTCACACAACCGGAGAAAACAACCCTGAAGTTCACATGGGGTCAGAATAGCACCAGAAAACCAAAGCCATCCTGGGTAACAAAAGCAAACCAGGAGGCATCACAACAAGCTTATACTTGAAGTTACATTATAAAACTACAGTGATAAAAGCAGTATGATACTGGCACAAAAACAGACATTTGTATCAATGGCACAGAACAGAAGATGCAGAAAATAGACCCAGGCACATTCAACTATTTGATCTTTAATAAATGCTGCTGGAAAAATTGGATATCCACATACAGAAGACTGAGTCTAGACCCATACATCTTACCATGTACTAAAGTAAAATCAAAATGGATCAACATCTAAATGTTAAAATAGAGACACTTTATCTGCTGGAAGATAAAATAACTAAAACTCCTAAAGTCACAGGCACAGGCAAACTTTCTCAACAGAACCTTGGTTGCATAAGAAATAGTACTGAATATCAACAAATGGGATCGTATCAAATTAAAAAGCTCCTTGCCATGTCTGCCTGGCAAGCACAAGGTCCTAAGTTCAATTCTAGGTACTGGGGAAAAAAAAAAGAAGCAGCAGCTTCTGCAGGACAAAAGAAACAACCAACAGAGAGAAGAGATAACCTGCAGAATGGGAAAATTTTCATCACTTACTCCTCATAGGGTTAATATCCAGAATATACAAAGAACTAAAAAAAATGAGTCCCTCCCCAAATAAAAGATCCACTCTAGAAAGAGGCAACTAAAATGAAGAGACACTTCTCAAAAATACAAATACATCAGGCCCGGGATTTAGCTCAGTGGTTCTGACACCTTCCTCGCAAGTGCAAGGTCCCAAGTTCGATCCCTGGTACCAAAAAAAAAAAGTACAAATACATGAAAAAAATGTTAATCACTGGCCATTAGAGAAATGCAAATTAAACTAAAACAACACTGAAATTCCACCTGACTCTAGGAAGAATGGCCACCATTAAGAAAACTAATACAAATACTGGAGAGTTGTTTATAGCAGAATGACTCATAATGGCTAAATCTTGGCCTATATGTCCAGCAACAGATGCACAGATAAAGGCAAATATTTATAGAAAATAAAGTACTACTCTGCCGTAAGGAGTAAGTTTCAGTCATTTGTAGGTAAATGGATGCACCCTGAGACCATAATGCTAAGTGAAATAAACACACGAGCTTAAATACTGTATTGCATGGTTTCTTACATGAGAAAACCAAAATATCAATAAATTAGAGAGAAAAAATAAGAGACAGATAATAGGAAACAGGGAAATAGATCTTTTGCATCAGGAAGGGGACCAAGAGATCAAGGGAGGGAAAGGGGGTGAAGGTTGGGGGAAGAATTAACATGCGTTACGTACTCGTACCAACTCCCCACATGAATGTCATCATTATGTAGGGCAAACAGATAATAATAACATTTTTTAAAAAGAAGACATACTCATGGCCAACAGATACATGACAAAATGCTCACCCTTACTAATCACCAGGGAAACGCAAGTCAAAAGCACGAGACATCACCTCACTCACTAGGTCGGTTGTTGTCAAAAGAAGACTGCAACGCTGACACGCGTGTGAAGAAAAGGAGAACCTTTTCACAAGGTGGGACCTAAAGATATGGAGAACGTTTGAATGTTTAGAAACATCCTCACGTAACAGACCCACTGCCGTTAGTGAACGCCCCACCGCAGATGCCCCTTACCTGGCCCACCGTCCCACGGCAGCGCTGGAAGCCTCCGTGTTCTGGTCATTCTGCCATAGCTGCCGCATCTCCTGACCCGATTCCTAACACTCACAGGCACTCTGACTTCGCAGAGGTGTCCGGCCGGGGAGGCGGACACGGGCCCGGCACCACGTCATGAGCCTGCCTTCCCACTGCACGACCTTCCCTGGAGTCCTCATTCTGTGCTCGCATGGCACCTGGTCTTCCTCTAGTCTTCTCCCCGGCAGGAGCCAGTCCGGGTCACCAGAGTACACTGCTGGATCTCCTTAGTCTCTTTTGTCCGCGTTTCCGGTCTTTCCATTTTTCGTAACTGTACAGTAAGTCCCCGACTTACGAACATTTGCATTGTGAACGCGGGAGAATCACTGTCGGATTACAAATGAATCTGACTTACGAACATTCTCCCGGAAGGGACCTTGTTCGAAAGGCAAGGACTACTGTAACAGTTTTGAGGATTAAGGGTCAGCTACTCTGCGGAGTCCCTCAGCCTTGTTTGCTGTTCTCAGAGCTAGGCCGGGTGGACCAGACTGGGCTTTCACATCCACTTGTCACTTCCTGGTGTGCCGTGAGCCCCACTCTCACTGCTGTGCGTTTGCCAGGGTCACCTGGTGAAGGGAGTGTCTGTCAGCTTTCTTAGCCGTCAAGCTGCTGGTTTCCTTTGTCCTTCAGAAAAAAGTCACCAACTCTGGCCCAGACTCAAAGGGAAGGGAGCCAGAGCTGAGAACTCTGCAAAACAGTTCTGCTTGGGCTGATGTATATTTGAGCTGAAGTGATTCTGCATTGAGAGTAAAACATTAAAATTAGAAGGACCAAATGGAAGGGAGTGGGAAAACTAAGTCGTTTTCCAGCTATTTCCCAGACAAAGACTTCAAAGGATATTTTTGATCAAAATTATTTTGAGTTTGTAAGACTTCAACACTATGTAGTTGCTTCTCATTCAGAATCATCCCAAAGAAATAGAGAGAACTCTTCAACTTGCAAGAAACTAGAAATGTGAAACCTCGACCCACAGGGCAAGAGAGGAAGGTGATGCACAGAAGTATGCGGGGTAACGGTGGGTGCCCGTCCCTGGCTCTCAGGGAAAGAGGTACACAGAAGAAATTAGAAAATGTGTAAAAATTAGAAAAGAGGCAACGAAATGATTTATATACGTGATTGTTTTCAAGAAAACTTGAAGAAACGCCTCGGGGAGGGAGAGGGGAGGCACACTAGAAGTCTCTTGGTTGTGCCTGATAGCACCCATTTTCAAAATCAGGAATAATTTTTGCATTGTCTGGGCTGAGACCTCAGCTTAAATCATCCACAGCTCACCATGAGCAATTTCCTCAGGAGACATGTCCGACAGAACATCCAACTTAGAAATAACATCCAGGTCCTGGTACAATGCTGGTGTATGAGGTGGCTGAATCTAGAGTGTAGATCCAGGCTGGCACTCGGCACGGCCCCGCCCCTGGGGCTGTAGGATTAAGGGTGTGAGTGCTGCCCGCCCTAAGCAGCCTGGATAGAAGGGGCAGGAAGCCTCTGTGAAGGTTTCCTTGATGCTTTTACTGTCTTCTGCTGCCATCAACTGTTACCCCTCTGCCATGTGCGGCCCTGCCTTGGAGCCAGCTGATGATGGACTGAAACCTCTACAGGCTGTGAGCTAAATAAACCTTTCCTCTTAACTTTGAGTGTCGGGTATTTTATCTTAGCCACGGGAGAAAAATAACTTCAGGGTAACTTCTGGGTATTATGTTAGCTCTCCCGTGGCTACAACACGATGCCTGACACCCACAACCTGGAGGAGGAGAGGTTTCATTAAGCTCATGGATTCAGCGAATTCAGCATTGGCCTCCAGGCTCCGAGGCAGAAACGTCATGGTGAAGGGTGCAGTGTAGGAAGGGGAGCACAGAAGCAGCACCCCAGGAGGAGTGAGGGACCGGACAGAACACCCAGGGTTACGCCTGAGGGACCTGGAAGTGAGATCTAATCCCCGGGGCAGCTCCCAAGCCAGCCAGCTGGACACACGCAAACTGCACCAGCACAGCTACTATTTGTCACTCTCTTTCTGCAAGACAAACGACTTATCCCGAACATGTCTAGGGTATTTCCAAAGTTGGGAATTCCGTGGCTGCTTATCACTACACACCCTAATATAAACTATCCCATTTCCCACAGGTAATTTCAGCTGGCCAACATTCTCAGAGTTGGAATCTGTCAGTAACTGTCACGGGGTCATTCCGCATTTGATGGTGCTCCTGCGCACGACTCCGGGCCTGTGCACTTCCTAATTCCTGGGTGCGCCCTCTGAAGACACCGCTTCCTGTGCTGAGCGACATCACCCAACGCTGCCTCCTGGGATCATCCTCACCGTGCAGACCAATCCCAGCTTCTCACCAAGCTCGGTGCAAACCACGTGGGCAGGTGCATCACAGACACACACGCGTACGCAGATGCACACAGAGAAAAGTAGCAAAGACATAAAAAGACACAAAAGCAGACGGGTCAGTTTAAAAAAGTTATTTATTAAACAAGTTAAATACAACTAAAAGTACATATAAAAGTCCAAAATTATTGGATCCCTTTCGAAATACGTATTCCTTGAAATTTTTGTCTATCTTTTTAATAAGAGAAATGATAAAAATTAAACAGATATGAAAAATTTCTTAAACAACAAAGCATGTGGCCAATTCAGAAGTAAAAGATACAACCACAGAAACAGCTAAGCTATGAAAGCAAAATGTCCCACACGTTTTCTGTGCCTCTGGTGACTCTCGAGCGCTAACCACGTCCACAGGAAGAAGCGAGGCCGACACTGGCCTCACTCCAGCATCTGACTTGGTGTCACACAGAGCAGTCAGAGTGGGCACATGTCAGGCATGTAAACTGTCCACTTTTCAGCAAAACATTTTATAAATGAACATTATTTATACTCAGTGGAAGATGAAACAAAACCTGGAATTTTCACATCCTGATTTGAGATAACTTGTGGATTTGGTAGGTCTGCTAACTTCCAACATCATAATCACCAATATACTACCAAGAGAATGATTCCGTTTTTTAAAAAGAACTTCTAAAAATTTCCTTCCTTTGGAGTGAAAGGAAATACATTCTTTGCTCATAAATTATGATGCTCAGTTTCTAGGGTTAACACAAGAAATAGTGCAAGAGGGAGGGAGGTGTCCTGCAGAAAAGGCTGTGCCCATCAGCGGGTTCGCGTGGGTGACAGGCACTCCCCGCATCAGTCACGCGGAGCGGTCGCTCGTATGGAAACCTAACTGCCCAGTGTCCACCACAGGCTCTCCACCCTCCCCGAAGCGGGCAGAAGGCGCGCAGGGCCGAGGGCTGCAGCCCGGGGCAGGTCTGCAGGTGCATGAGAGCACTGGGGAGAAGCCCGCGTGTGTCCGAGGACACAGGCAGGAATCACGACACGCTTCGGGACTAGAGCTCGCGACTATAAATAATAGAAACCCAAGGCCCAGAGAGCGCTGATGATGCGGGGCTGCTCCCCGCCATCACGTTCGGCCCAGAGGACGGCTCGCACATGCGCACACACGCACCCCACGCACTCTGCCCGGCTCAGTCTGACAGCGAAGGGGAACGCACAGACCTGCCGCTGGCCGGGCTGGAGAAGGCGAACGGCTCCTTGTCCTTCTCCCTGCTGTCGTGCTTGTGCTTGTGCTTGTGCTTGTGCTTGTGCTTCTTCTTCTTCTTCTTGTGCTCATGATGGTGGTGGTGGTGGTGCTCGCTGTGTCTGGAGGAGGACGACTCCTTCGTGAGCGCGGACAGCGGCGCCATCACTGCGGGGTGCATGCTCATCTCCAGAGGCGACTGCTCCTTACCTGCAGGGAGAGACACCCACATCAGCCCCTGCTGGAGCGAGAAGGCGAGGCCGCTGTGTCCGAGGAGGCCGAGGCAGTGCTGTGCAGAGAGGGAGTCTCAAGCGCACACCACTGCCATTTGCAAAGGGACAAGATCCCAACATGGAACCTTCCTGGAGCTCCCAACCTAGCAAGGGACAAACCAAGTGCACAGGAGTAAGAGGAAGAAAACACACGGGACAGGAGCACTCGAGACAGTGGTGAGGCAGCTCTCCCGGAAGGACAAAGCTGTGACCATGGGGTGAGGAGGAAGTCTGGGTGCTCTTTTGGGACAGCCCCCTAAAATGCTGACAAAAACCAAGATATATCATGTACACACAGAAATTCCCAATATGAATGTCATATTGTATAACTAAAATCAATAAACTTAATGAAGAAAAAAACACATTTTAACAAGAGGTTCAGTCCACACATCTGAACCTGCTTTAATATCAACTGTTGCCCTTTTTCACGTGGCTAACATAGTGTGGACACCAAAACACAGCATCCACCGAAAGAATTATCTTAAAGTGAAACTGCCCTTTGGGGGGAAGTCCGTCTGCTGTTTTGTAAAGATGTTTTTCACTAGTAACGGTGAAAGCTGGCGTTAACAACAACAAAATGCCGACAGGCTGCTCCGTCTGGGCCGGGCCTCTCCCGGGGCCGAGAGCACGTGCAAGACACAGCCGTCTCTCATCTCCGTGCCCAGCGCGCAGCTTAGCACCAGCCGCCGCCAAAGCTCATGCTGCAACAGGACTTTACAGCGGCTGCTCTTCCGCTCGGATGTCAGGTGAACCCATCCAAATGAAGGGAATGTGGAGGTCGCTGCTTCGGGGGAGACAAATAAAGCAGGAAAGCTATTAAGAGATCATGCACTCAATCAGTATTTATGGACTGTCAAGCTTCCTTGTGTCAGACACTGCTCCAAGATTTTGGAACAAATGAACAGTGCCAGAAGTTTTTGTTCTCCCAGATTATTCCCATTTCACTCATGCAAGATTTTTTTATATTCTTGATTGCTTTGTGCAAAGCCAACACTAGTGCTGCTGCAACATCTTAAGTACACAAAAAAGCAGGCAGGTTTGAGAGCCTGTGTGTCCTGCCGTCACCGGTTCCTTGGGCTGGGGCGCAGCTCAGTGGCAGATGCTTGCTTAGCATCTTTACGGCCCTAGGCTTGCCGGGAGGTGGAGGATGAGGCAGAGCGGGAGGGAAGAGCAGGGACAGAGACAGGGGAGGTGAATAGGGACCTGGCAGATCACTCCATCTACAGACTGAGTCAAATAATGAGGGAGCCACAGCGACTGGAACACAGAACCAGGTAACGGAGAAGTCCCAGAGGCTTCACAGCCCTACGAACAGCCCAACAGACGCCCGCGATGCCCTGCCCACAGGGGTCGGCTGTCTGCACCCTCGGGGATCTGTGGCCCTTTCCTGCGCCAAGCACAGGTGCCAAGCAGCTCAGACTGTGGAAGAGCCGCAGTTCTACCGGAGCCTGTGCTTCCAGGCAGGGGAGGGCCAGACGGAACACAGCGCTTGCAGGGTACTCCTTCCCAGGGTGACTTGCTAAGGAGCCTGACAGCCCCTTCAAAATCAAAGCCCATCTCCTGTCCGAGACCCACGAGCGTGCCTCAGGTTACACTAATTATGGATCAGACTGAGTCCAATTTAGGGCTTAGGCTCAATGTTGACCTTATGGAGAAATCTGATTCAGTTCTCCAATTTGGTTGGTGACCAGAATCATGAAAAGAAACAAGTTTGTGAACTGAGGTACCACTGTAAAGGGTGTAGTAGCCAATTAAAATGCGGATCTCGATCCCCGGTACCAAAAAAATAAAAATAAAATAAAATGTGGATCTTGCGTGGACAGACTTAAACTAATGAACTGTTAAAAATAACAATCACGTTTATGAGCTGAGAGGAAATATTTAAGGGCATGAAATAATTATTAACCCTTTAGCTATAATACTATTGCCATGGTTATGATCTTTAAAAGTCCTACCTTCTGGAGATATACAGTATATTACAAATACAGTAAGATCTATTTCACAATGTTTTTGTTTTGTTTTTTGGTACCAAAGAATGAACTTGGGACCTTGCGCTTGCGAGGCAGGCAGTGGAACCACTGAGCTAAATCCCCAGCCCTATTTCACAATGATTTAGAAGGATAGGCATGGGCCTGGCACCACTGTTGAAACTAAGCAGGAGACACCAAAGTGGATGCACCAGTCAGAGATGACAGCTTTCTGTAAGAAAGTACTGTGTGAAGAGGCCACATTAAGGAATTTGGCATTACCTATGAAAATGTTAAATCCCCATATTCTTAAGCTTTGTTAGCAAGGTCCAGAATTCCTACACGGTGTCCACATGCACAGACACACGGAATGTGGGGTCAGAGGTGCCAGCCTGGCCTGTGCTGTCCCCACCACACTCGTTATAGCAGCACACACTTTTATTCACCTTTTCACTGTCTTTCCTAAAAAATTTTACCAGGTCTAATCCAAGGTAACACAAATCAAGTCTGATTCTGCTCCCAGGTGGGCCACATTTACAGTCAGATTTGAGACACACACATGTTTACTTTCACAGTAGGGTAAGGAGGTCTCCGGTCTACAGCATCTCTATCAAGAAGAGGCGTGTATCATCGTCCCCAGGACATAACAGCCACACACATAATTTCAAACATCCTTTCAGACATGCGTAAGATGCTTAAGTACTTTGAACTCACCTAGACAGGAGGAATCAGTCATTTCCAGTGACCTGAAATACAGATTTCTATTCCAGATAGTGGATGTATCAGAGGAAGTATAAATAATTCAAAATACTGTACCTTTGATAATTCATGTTATATACAAAGAGCAAAAGAAATACTCAGTCTTGTTCTAGCCAGCATAAAATCTTTCCTGAAAACCTAATGAAGGTAGACAGGGCTGGGGATGCAGCTCAGTGGTGCTGCACCTGCCTGGCAAGCCCAAGGTTCTGAGTTCACTTGGGTACTGGAA